GTCGCGGTTGAAAATGCAACCTTAACTCTGCCCCCTTCTACTTGTGCCTAAAAACAAGATATCTTTTTATAGCATTATAAATTGGCATTTAATATATTATGAAATAGAAGTGTTTGCCTTTAAAAAACACCATTACCACACTGTGTAGAATAGTTGTTTCCTATAGGTATAAAAAGTTAACTTTTAAATGGTGATCACTACAATTTCTTATACAATGCTACATAGAATAAAGTTACAGTACTATAAACAAAGTCTGAAGCCTGGAGTTTATTTACCTCTCAATGAGGTCTACAAACCATGCACACACGCACACACATGGGATCATTTAAGTTTGTAGAACTTACAATCTGTGGCATTTATTAGCTCAAGGGTACTACGGATAGCTCTATCTAGCATTAGCAGAACACATTAGAGCTGATAGCTAAAAGTTATTCCATAGACAGAGCATGTGGTATTAGACTACAGGGGAGTTATGGATAGGGAACAGGATACTTATGGCCAAATCAAGACGCTACAGTGCTGGAGAGGGGATCAGGTGCACCACTACACAGGTTCCTCAGGAGTTTGCATGCTTGCAGAAGCCAGGTGCAATCACACCACCTTCGGGGGCACTGGAGTGGAGCATTCTCACTGGCAGCCAATGACACCTGTTAGCCGTAGACTGCTTGCTTAGCTTCTCTGTGTCTGAGCAGCACACAGTAGAGGTGTATTTATGGGAGGAGCATGGTGACATATCTGGGCACCCCCTTTGGGCCATGCGGCCTGGGCTCCTCTTTTGCTCTGCCAGAGCGCAGATTGATAGCTAATGGGTGCACTGGGGAAGGAGGGAGAAGGGATGGCCCCTTTGTTCTCTATCCCACTCAGACTCATGCATCTGCATCAGATTGGCAATAATTTAGCTCTTAGATAACAAAGAATGACAAATAGTTTTTGTACACGGCATGCTTTACTCATCCATCTCCCCACACCTGCACTCTTGTGTTATCAAAACCCACTGCCTGCCAGTAGACTCAAACTACCATGTGAAGTAGGATAATACACAGCACCAGCCTTTTACTAGAGCACCTTACTCACTACGAGGCAGCCTCTCTGCTTTCCAGAATATTCCTCTCCTCAGTTAAGGTGGATATAACCTAGAGAGTTCTAAGTAAATTCTGAGTCCCTGTCCCCCCACCCATCATATTCCAGAGGAAAAATGTAGTTCTGTCCAGCTTGTCTCTATTCTTGAGCAGCAAGGTAATGGCATAAAGGAAATTTTGAAAAGGAGAGGAAGAAGGGAAATCTTCACCACATCTTACTTTGATCTGTAAAGGGTTGTGTCCATTTGTAGTGTTATAAAAATGCTCATTAATAAAAATGATAAGAAGTAGGGCATCTTTCCATCAAATATAAAGTACATGAAGTGCAAATACTTCATCAGGGAACAGATACATTTGTTCTGCCTAAATTTTGAATCCACTTGCATATGATAAGTTCAAAAGTTTAACTCAATCTTATTAACTCTCCATAGAACATTTTATATTTTTACTCTCTGAATTTCTCTTGTGGTGGAAAGCAACACATGGGTGAGTATAAGCTACAGGAGGAAAAAAAGGGTCATGTAGTCAAATGTTATGAACTCTTCAAGCTCCCAGAATAATATGGAGAGGTGCAAACCCTTCAAATGCTCCATCAGATTGGCACCTAAAGAAGGAACATCATGATCCCAAGCACTGCAGCGGAGCTACCCCTGGGACAGAAGACATCAGCTGATTAACAATGCTTCACAAGAGGTTGAGGACAGAGAGTAGGGCTGAACATAATTTAAATCCAACTGAAGATATGAGAGAAATTTAGGTTAGTGGAATGTAGACAACCCTTGCTCTTTTAAAAAGTCCCATGGGATCTTTAATGGCCACAAGTGGTTAAGATGTAGCTTCTGCATCTCATGTAATGAGAGCGCAACATGTACTCTAAAAGAGAAATAGGTACTTCTCTAAAGTGCGTAAAGTGCTGTCTTTCTACCTGTCTCCTCCAACTTCAGCTATGTAGAATTTGCAAGCGGAACAAAAAGCTAGGAGATGAGTGAACTAGGACATTCATGGTTAGAGGGTACAGAAGGCCGTCTTAATGACAGCAGAGGAGAAAGAATCAGCGTTTGATTATTTTTGACAGAGTTGTAAAAGGCTCAGATTGCAGCCTGACAAACAGCTCATCAGAGAGATCCTATGCCCAAACCAGAGAAGTCTCTTTGGCCAAGCTAACAGAAATATGGGCCCTAGTCTAGCAGGAGTGAAGGCTTTCTAAAACCAAACACTATTCAACATTTAGATTCAGAATGCTTAAAAACAGGTACTAATGCCAATGAGCATTTGCACTTTGGCAATTCGCATGCTGAAAAATGTAAAGAAGGAATCTCTTGATCTTGCCATGTCATGATGCTGCTGTATATGACACAAAGCCATGACCTTGCAATGCAAAACAGGGAGTTGTTCTATTGCCATCACAAGCTAAACTTACAAAACATGTTATCCCATAAAACTCTAGGGAATCCCAAGAAATTCTGGGTAGCCAGCAACCCTTATTCCAACCCATCTATCTCAAATAAGAATTGGTTTGAGTGGTTGAGTAGGCACTGATTTCGTATACCCCTCAGAAACCTCTCAGGATAAACAATAAACTCTGTCCCTGCTTCTAAAATGGGGCAAAGTGTTTGTCGTGTGTTGTTGACACTGACAATATTAGAAACAGCCTTCAGTAAAAAGAGATTTTTTTCTGGTTATAACGCGTATTTTTCTAATCTTCACTCAGGCAAACAGAAACTGTTGTATAACTGGGTTAAGAAAATCGAGGTCTTGTTCCTAGAGGAGAGGTGCCCAACCAGAAGCTGAAGAGGTGTCTACAGCACCCTCGCTGGCAGTCCCAGCAGAGCAAGGATTGAATGGGCTTGGGGCCATATTTCCATATGCCAGGGTTTCTACAGGAAGAGCTCACTGGTGGGGCAGCTTGCTGCTGTATCACCAGAATTTAAGTCTGCAGGTTTCTCTGGCTTTTTCTGGGACGAAACTCACTCAATATTTAAAAAAAAATGTAGTGGCACATAATTCTCCTGCTCCCCTGGCTGAGAACAGCCAAAAGAAAGACCAGCATTCTAGAGAAGCAATTGGTTGGGAGGGAACTAATAAACTCTTGACAATTAGTCTATGAAGCCTTTTCATACCTTCAACTTGCCTGACAGACCCGTATTGAACAATGGGAAACGTCAGAGAAATGGGCTTCTTCAGTCTCACTACAATGCCATCCTCACTTCATTTGCTGCTTAGTGGGGAAGCTTTTCTGAGAGTCAGGAATCAGCTCTTTCAATAAAGCCAGCCTCAAAGTCCAGCATTTTGGTGATTTAGACTAAGCAGGAGTTTGCTCATCCATAGCAGAATGGGCTGCAGTAAATCCAGTTGCCTGACCTCTTAATACTGTCTTCTATCCAGCGTGAGAGAAAAAGATACATAGTGAGAAAACTCTGCTACCATAGTAGGGGTCTATGCACTAAGATACTTCATCTTCCGTTTGCTTAGAGAATATGTAAAGCCAAGGGTGGGAGAACGGCACCAATGCTGCAAGAAGAAAATGCCTTCAGTTTTATGGGCACCAATCAAAGCTGCAGTTTCAATGCTAGAACTTGAATTTTATTAGTCGCATAAATTGTATGCTACGAACTCTTCCTATATGCCTACCTGATGCCTGGTGAGCAGATGTAATCTATGTAGGGTATCCGCAAAAGCACCAGTGTGGTACTCTAGAAAATATACAAGGACAGATTAAGTTGTCCTGATGAGTTATCAGGGATGGGGAGCAGCAAGGAAAAAGGTCAAAGAGAGCGGACCCTGTTACATCTATCAGTACCATAGCTGCAGGAGAGAAGAGAACATTCTGACCCAGCACAGACAGGTGAGCTTTCTACGAGACATGGGAACATCCAAAATTTTGGATCCTGACTCAGAGGATAGTGATCACCTCCAGCTGAATGGGAATCTTTACAGTCTTGGTCCGTTAATCAACTGCTGGCCTACAAAATCCCTTTCTGAGGTTCTCTCCAGAATGTGCGTTTTAAAGGTGTGGTCAGAAGAAACGAAGGATGAAAAATATCAAGTATTGCCAGGTCAGGAACAGGCATGGGTGCACATCTGGAGGGATCCAATGCCTGAAGGCTAACACTCATTATTTGTAACACTGCTAAAAATTTAGCACACACATTCTGGAGAAGATCAGAAAATGCCAAAAATATTAAACATAAAATTAAGGGGATTTTATCTGAGGAAAAGTATTCTGTGACACACAGATGGATACACAAAGTATTTACATTTTATGTTTCATATATAAACACATATGCATGCATATACATATCTAGCTATAGATACCTATATACATACTCCGAGAAATATAGAGGTAAGGATAAATATATTACATGTACATCAAAAATGAAGACAAAGGCAAGCTATCTTTTGGATAAGTAACCGCAACTGAGTCAGTCCCTAATGTGACCGCAGGAGAGAAATCGGAAATCTGGAAATGAGGCAGGACTTCTTTTATTGCCTCCAGAGAGGTGATGTAGTAAGAGCCCAGCACTGCGCTCTCTCCTCCTAAAGCCCTCAAATTATTCCCACCTGTGGTGCTGAGAGAGTAAGTGAAAGGAAGTGGAACATTATATTTTTCACAAGCTAATCCAAGGAAACTGACCGCTCAGGTTTCCATTTCTTTCGGCAATAATAATTTACACTAGGGCTGCACTCTTTTGTTATTTTTTGTGCAGCCAGAATGGTCTCTTCAAGATAACAGATATTTAAACTGCAATTTACGAAGAGGAGGTAGCCAGCAATCTATAGGTATTCAGAAATTCTCGTCTCTTAGGTCTCTGGCTGGCTCAATACAGTATGCTTCAAAAACAGACATCCCTTAGGAAATCCTGAAGGCATGTACGAGAGTTTTGAAACAGAAAGTAAACAAACACAATCCTACTACTGTACCTTTGCTTTGGGGTGGGTTCTGACTCCTGTCTCGGAGAACATTAATCTGGTAGACAGCTCCATAAGGCTCAAAAAGTTCTTTTAGCTCTTTTTCCGACCATGAACGTGGGATTTGTCCAACAAACATCTTAATGGCATCTGGGTCTGGTTGGTCTGAGTGATCCAAAGCTCCATTCATCTTGTTAGCTGTGCCGTTACTAAAAAGTGCAACAAAGAGATAAAAATAATAGGCATAGTTAGGAGACTGAGCATTTTTGATGTATAATAGATGCAGAAAAAGATGTCAACAGGGCACAATGGGGAAAAAACTGTGCTTAATTAACAGTATAAATGTTACGAACAAAAGCAATGCAAAAACGGCATTACATTTTTCATTGAGACTGGTTTTCACTGCAGGCTGCTGCTTAATACGGTTATATCAGAAAAGAGCTGGAAAATACAAGCCACGAGCCAGTACTTTTGCATCTTAAAGTGAAGGATAATTATGAATAAGTGAGATTTCTATATACGGCTGCTGTAAACAGCACCAAACCAGCTACTGGCAGAAATAAGGCTGTGCCTGATTTGTGTGTATGCGCGTGTGTTTTGTAATAAGTCACATGAAAGGAATATGAAATGCTCGGCAATCTGTCAGATGACTAATGCAAGATGCCAGCGATGAATTTGCAGATTGTGTGAAGCATCCATGTGTGCATCAAATTAGGATAATATTGCCTAGAATGGAAAACACTCCAGCTATGCGGCTGGTTGCTGCCGATTAGTTGCCTACACTTTTAAAAAGGGAATGGGTGCACCCTGGAACAAAGAGCACAATTCAGAAGGGGAAGACGGCTACAGAATTGCCTGCTTTGTTCAGAAAATGAAAATACTGCTTCAAAAAGTTTAGCGCCATGTAAATAACATTACATGTTTCAAATCGTTCACACCCCATAAATTCCCTACCCTATCTAATTTCCAGATGTGCATTTACGTTTGAAACAACTATGCATTTTGAAAAAAAAAATATTTTATTCTCGCTGATAATTTTGAACTTCTTGGAGTAAGAAAATTGCATATCACAGAGTACAACTTTTCCTGAATGTTAGGAAAACATACATTATTTTATGTACCGAATAAAGGTAAAATGCATAAAACTCAAGTCACCACTGGTAATTAACAATAATCGTTTCAAAACTCTTTTCTTGGACCAAGATTTCCTATAGTAACTAGTAGTGATTTTGGGTGACCAATTGGACACACCTTAAAGCGACCTGGTTTTCAGAAAGTGCTGAGCACCCATCCTCTGAAACTCAGGCCTCTTTAAGGCATGTCAAAAGTTGATCAGCTAAAAATTGAGGCACCTAGAATTCCCCATCACTTTTGAAAACCTTGGCTTTGGATCATAGGTTCTCTAGCTGATACCTGCCCAGAAGAGAACACCCATATCACTCAAGGGCTGGAGAATGCACAAAGACCAAGCCATACATTTTACCGTTTGTTTATTTATTTTTTTAAAGCTCTGCATAATTTCCCTGCCTTAGGGCTAAGACAAATTATTCAGTTTTTGGTAGTTCGCTTCCTCTGAAGCATAGTGCACCTGGATACATTAATATGCCCATATTAACTTTTGAACTTTTCCTAGATATTGAAGGGAGGAGAAAAAGTTACATGAAAAGCACATTTCAAAACTGATGATGAAAAGTTCCATCATCAGTTTTGTCAAGTGTCTTTAACGTGGCTTAATGGGCAATAGAATAAATCTCACTCACTTATTAACCTTCAATGACTCATCTCTTTCCTGAATTACTACAGGAGAAAAACCTGCAAGTCTCTTCTCAGGCAAAATTCCTATGGATTCTAGTAGGATTTTGGCCTAAATAAGGGACAAAAGGATTTTGCTCATCCCTTTCTATTGTCTTTAATGTACAAATATTCTTGCCCATCTTACATCCCTTCTTAGTTTCAAAGCTCTTTCACTGATCACAAGAACTCTAATGTGGCTCTTCAGATATTTGTGGGATCATTACCATCACCCATCCATTTCAGCATAATGAACGAGAGAGAAATAATGCAGCAGAAAAACAAAGGTCCTGCAAGTTGCTTCATGCAAGCAGCCTTCCCCACCCATGCAGAGGCTCACTGACTCCCCTGGGATTTCATGTGACGCTAGGGTGACCAGATGTCCCGATTTTATAGGGACAGTCCTGATTTTTGGATCTTTTTCTTATATAGGCTCCTATTATCCACATACTCTGTCCCGATTTTTCACACTTGCTGACTGGTCACCCTATGTGACGCAGAGGTTCACCCATGCACAGCAGCTTGTAAGTTTGGGGCTTCAATACTTTACTTATCAGAGTTAGATGTAGGGATCGCTCAATGAAATTCTATGGCCAATATTATGCAGCGGGTCAAACCTAATGATCATAATGATCCCTTCTGGCCTTGAGAACTGAGGAACCATATTTCACACTTACATAGTGCCTTTCCTTTGAAAGTAAAAAAAAAAAAAAAAAACCCCAAAACATCTGATCTATTCAGAGGAGATTTTTGAAGACATTAATGGCTATTAGACACCAAACTCCCCATCATTTAGATTCAGGCACTTAATTGCCATTTGAGCCTTTGAAAACCTCCCCTTATGTATTTCATACCATTTTAGAAACATTGACTAGCTAAATTCTGCAATGTACCCTTTGCTTTGATAGCCTTTATACTGGTTCATATATTTTGGTTAGGAAGCAAGCCAAGATTACTTGCACTTTGATTTCTTCCTTATTTATGTTAATGTGCAATATTTTAGGAACATTAACAAACATAATTCATTATTAAAAGTTCTATTCTCTACTCCTTTACTCCTCCAGTCTGTACATTCAACATATACACACACAGGTATAGGGTCAAAATTATGCCACAAATTGCACTTGATGTGGGATAACAAGTGTACATATTGGTAGACTTGTTCTGGGTAGGAGGAAAAAACAATGGCAATGTGATGGCACCACTCTGTTTCTAACTAATGAAACAAGTGAAACCAACCTTTAGAAAACACATCAAACACAAATAAACAAAATCAGTGTTCATTCCAATGAATCCCTGTCATCATTATGGGCCTGATTCAGCAAAGCCCTTAGTATATGATTAAATCCATCCCAATTCAACAAAGCAGCTAAGCACTTGCTTAACTTTAATGGAATTTAAGAGGGATTAAATTAAGCATGTTCTTAAGTGCTTTACTGATTTTGTGTTTAAATTTCAGCCCTTGCTGAAGTGCTTTGCTGAATCAGGACCTAAATGAATAACTGAATGATGGAATTTAAAACTCTTGGGTTTTTATTCTTGGTTTGCCACTGACTCACTGCATTATCTTGGGCAAGTGTCTCAAACCTTTCTGTGACAATTTCTACCCTTTTCAACACCTGTGCAAGCCCATTGACAGCAGGTGGATGAAGGAAGAATAAAATTTGTCCTTGTCCACGTAAACGTGCGCAACTGTTCAATGGGTTTATAATATTTTCCTATTTGCAACAGTGGTGTTGGGCGTAAAAGTATATTGACACCAATAGAAAAAGGGGGGTAGGCAAATTATAGCCACATAAATAGAATGCGTTTCTGTGGGCATACATTGGCTACTCTTTGAAGCTGTAGAATGCCTCCTTGTAGGTTTGGAGCTCTCTCACTTGCCACTGAGTTCAATGAGAGTTGAGGCTAACACATCCCTTGGGCCCACAATCTATTTTAGGGTTTTACAATTGTGCCCATCACCGTAGGAGGCTAACGCATTAGGATCATTCATAAAGATAAATCAACTGGAAAAAAAAAGGTGAGGAGAAGAACTGTTTTTCATTAATCCAATTCCTACGGTTTACTCCGAGCATACGCTGAGAATCACAATCCTACAAACACCTGCATTAAGCTTCAGCTATCACATTGTCTGTTTGGGGAAATAAGTAATGTTCTTTTGAGTACGATATGGTGAAGATGATGAGATGAATGGCATAATCTCCAAGCAACTCCCCAAAAAACTAAAAAAGGAAACCCCAACTAAAGGAGGAAAACCCCCTATGCCCTTAACTTTCTCTTGCCTAGAAAATATTTTGTATTAGGCTGAGACTTGTTAGTCATCAATGAGAAGGAGACGTTTTGTCACTTGGCTTTGCTGATACACCGGAACTCAGTGGAAGTGGCTCTCTCCCATCTCATCCCCTTACTCAGGAAATAACAAGGAAAAAAAAGAGAAACCACACACGAAACTTTATTTCCAAGAGGAAACAAACCAGTACACTGGAAAGCTTAAGGCCTCTACTATTTCTTGAAAGTGTGAGCACAAAAGGGAGCTGTGTCTAGGGGACACTAATGAGAGCAGAATCCCATGACAATTACTGTCAGTACCCAGATGATGATATATCGAAAAGAAAATTTAGGTTATGCGACCAGCTGCCTCTGCGCTGCAGTAAGCCTCCCTCTATGGCCAATTTAGTCCACTGGACTCACGGGTGACCCAGCACGTTATCCTAATCACTGACAAGGTGTCATCTATATTGTGGAGAGCAGCCTGAGGGCAGAGATTAAGCCAGTGAGTGGCTGACTGCTTATGGTTGCTGCCAGGGCATCCTTTCTCTCAATTTGTGCCAATTTTCCTTCTAATAACCTACCTATTGTTCCATCATTTCAGGAAGCTGACAGGGCCACTCTTTGAGGAGTGATGGATTGTTTTGCTATTACTTACATTTACTAGCAGCACCCCATTCTTGTTTTTAATCCCAGCAAATCTACTGGGAGTGAATTTATTACTAATTAGAGATGGGCCCTGGAACCACAGTGTTTGGGTCTGGATCTTGAGATTCCAGGCCAGACTCATTTCCTTTCACAACAAGCCAATCGTTCAACAGTCAGTGGTAGTGACCAAAATAGCTTCGATTCAGGCCCATTTCTTGGCCTGATGTGAACCTTTCTGACAGTATTATTTTGGTTAGCTCCTCTCCCCATTCCAAGCCTCACCCGACTCCAATTATTTTAATGTTTTGTCCAGATTTGCCTTTCCTTCTATGATCCAGTGCTACAAAACATGGGCTTAACTGTAAACAAATGATTAAGTGCCCCCACCCCCCGCTTAACAGTATTAATGCCCTATTGACGTAGAAAGGCTCGGAAATGTATAAGGAAAAAATAGGCTGCAGGTGAACGAACTATTAAATCCATCTTAATACAGAGGCAC